CGTCTCTCCTCCTCTCTCTCTCTCTCTGTGTGTGTGTGTGTGTGTGTGTGTGTGGAACTATGCCTTCAGCGTCCACGGTCCTTCTGCACGAGAACGCACCGCCCTGCCCAAATAATAACAATAATAAATGACGTTTTTCATTTTGCCTCTTTTGGCAGCAGTCACGCATGGGGATAAACAAACACACCAAAGCAAAAAAAAAAAGTGAGCGAAACACGCTGAACACGCTTGTCCGAGAACGTGACCCCTGCAACTCGTGCTTGCACCATCCCCCCTCCCCCTCCTCCTCTCTAATTGCAATAAAAACGAGGGGCAATGCTCCACCCACTTTCCTCACATTTCGTTGCAATGCCCCGGCCCTCCTTCCTTGGGTCACGGTGCTTCACTCTTGTCGCTCACCGCACCATTACGAGGACCTTCAACCGCACCACCCACACGGCACGGAGCCGGTGGGCTAACGGCGGACGCATTGAAAGGGAAGACACACCCAACAATGCCTTTAAGCTACCGCATCTCATTCCCCATCGGCCGCATTCGCCCCTGTGGCTCCCACTGCGCCGCTGCCCGACTTTTCTTCACTGCGGGCTTTCGCCGCAGTTTCGCCTCCCACTTCCGCAGCGCCTGCGACTCCCCTGTTCTCGCTATGCAGCCCACTCTCGCATCGACTCCTCAAATGCCTCCTCACGTCAACGCAGCCGCCGTAACAGAGCGTCACTCTCTCGGCTGCGCAACTCACCCAGACGCTCCTCCACCCAGCCGCGGAGTGGTACGTCCGCATCGCAAAAAAAATAATAATAAAAATGCGCCGATGATCCTCGTCGTGGTGTTAACTTTCACCTGCCGCTAAAAGTTGCTGCAGTCATTCTTCGCCTGCCGTCATGCGCCTCGGCATGGGTCGCCGCTGCATGATTCATCCAGACACCTGCAAGGAAGCGACTCCCCACCTACCAAAGCGCAAGAACAAATCAAGCAAACAAAGATACAACAATACATCCATATAGGTTCAGATGCATACACCGGTGACCGCAGCAAGGTGAAGAGTGGAGGACGGGAAGGTTGCTTCAATTTCTCATTCTGTAACGGTATCAATTTTACCCATCGGCTCCGCTCTCTTCCCTTTTCATTTTTCCTTCTCCACAGTGATCCACGCACACACATACACAGAACCAATTTAACTGTGCAGGCTTTTTTGTTGTTATTGCCGTCTTTTTTTTCTTTTTTTTCGTCCAACACACTCGGAAAAGAAAAGAAGGCACCCCTCCTCCCTGCCCCAATTTATATCCTTTCTCTTTGGGTCTAGCGGGCCGCAAAAGCGAGGGAGAAGAACGAAGGAGGAGAAATACAACTAGAAGGAAGCAAATACACAAACAGAAAAAAGAAAAGAAAAAAAAAATAATAATAATAATGGCATAGAGTAACATCCGCCTCGAACCACGCCACGGAGAAGATGGTCTGCCCATGATGTTTCACGCCATTTTGTTAGCAGGCCCAAGATACATGCGGTCACCGCGGAAACTGTGGGAAACTACCGTATTATGGCGAGAAAGAAAGAGAAAGTAGGCAAGAGGGCATGCTACTACGATGTATAGGCCTCGAAGGTCTCTTGAACAGAAACAGTGCAGCTTGGCACTGGGCATTTTCCGAAGATGTGCTCAGCACAGTCCTTGCACAACACCTGATGTTTGCACGGGTAACATATCACAGTGCAAAGACGCCTGTGGCATATCATACACTTTGACCGCTCATTAATGGTCATGCGTACGCGGCTAATCATTTCAAGCATTTCGCGTTCAAGTTCTTGAAGCTGCTCCAACGGACACAGCTGGAGTCCGCTAATAGAAGGCATTTGCACGTGGGTGTTGACAACCTCCGTTTTTATTTGCTCTCGAAGGGCGTTAAGTGCCCGCTCCCGTCTTTCCGTCGCTTGTGGGTCCTCCCCGCACCGTTTGCGACGCGGCTCTGGTGTGAGTGCCTGTTGCTTGTGTTCCTCCAGCAGATCAAGACGGAACTGCAGCTGTGGCATGCTCATGAAGGGGTGCCCGGCCTCTCGCGTCATTTCAACCCACTGCTGGTACTCCGACTGACGAAATGGAGAGTTTGAGATGGAATTCAACTGCACCACATTGCCGTTCTGCGTGGCGCGGAAACACGGCGGAAGCTCAATGACAATGTGCCACTCCGTGCTTGCCATGTCGGCCGAGAAGCCGGAGTACTTCGGTCCGCGCCGAGCCCCCTTCACACAGGCAATGTAGTAGTGGTCACTGTTGTCACGGCGCACATCTTCGCTCCGCATCTCAAGCAGCACGCGCACAAAACACCCCCGCACCACCTCCTCAAAGTTCTTCCACTCAATAAAATTCACCAGCGCCGTGCGGAAAAGCTGCAGCTTTAGCAGGAACTCTAGCGGGGGCGCAGGCGTGTGCTCATCCAACAAGTAGTCCGTCGGCCTCGCGCCTGACATCACGTTCTTCTACTGATCCCTGTTTCCCTTCCCCCTTCTCGCCTTCTGCCACTCCTCCTTTTTGCCTTGAAGACGCACTGCACACACGCGGGAGGATGAAGGCCGAGACATCAACAAAAAAAAAAACAAAAAAAACAAAAAAAAGGACCCGCAGCTCCAGACACACACACAGAGAGAGAGAGAGAGAGACGGAAAGCGCTGACGAACCTCCAGAAGGCACCTCAGACAAGGAGAAGCGTCTAAGGCCCACGCCGCTTCAACATAAGCCAAGGAGAATAAACAAGACAAAAAACAAAAACGAAAAAAGAAAAAGATATATATTTGTTCCATCCCAATTAGGTCTCCTCATGCCCATGCAGTGTTCATCGTTCATTGCGCGCACCTCAGCGTGTTGTCGTCCCACCCACCAGCTTCTTCCTCCGCACAGGGCACAGAGAGCTGTCGGTGCTGCGCGCGTGTGGGCAGGAGACGCCGACAGCCATAAGTGGCGTCCGCCCTTTCTTGCAGAAAGTGGGCAAAGCAAGAAAATTATAATTTAAAAAAAAAAAAAAAAGTTAATTTTCTTCCGCGGAAAAAAAATTATACCCGGCGGTGTGTAGGGCTGCGCAGGGAAGACGGCGCACATGCCCCGCACTGAGAAGCCGCATCTCCCTCATAGTGCCGCAAACACCCACAATCCCAGCAGCAGCAGCAGCAAAAGCAGCACTCGGCTCGCACAACCGCAACCATCCGCGTGTTTGTTTTTCGCTTTCGCCGATGGAGGCATCTCGGTCCGCGCGTTGTGGTCCGCGTTCACCCCAGAAGCTGCGTCCGTCGCACTGCTGCTGGAGATGTGAGCGCTTGCTGCCTTCGGCGAGGTTGACGGCGGCGGTGCAGCGGACTTTGGCTCTCTGAAGTGGTCCAGCAGTGCCTCGGCACTCAGCGGGCGGTTGTACAAAAGAACATCTCCCACCATCACACGGACGTTGTCTGCGTTGCGTTCTCCATCCGCACTGCCTCCGTCCTCCCCAATGAAAAAGTGTGAAATCTCCTTGGATGTGCCACTTTTCCAAGACTCTTGCGAAGCAAGCTGAAAATATCCATCAACGTACACAGAGCCCCTTCCTTCCTGCACAACAAGCGCCACCTGGTACGCCTTACCCGTCTCCCAAGTGCCAGTGGATGCCTGCAGCACCCGACCCCCATACACCAGCTGCCACCTTTGCTGTTCGTCGTACGACACACTCATTGCTGCCGCGCCACCCTCGGGCCTCACCCCCAGCAATGAAAGGGGGCCGCTGCCGCCTGCGGGCACTGCGTGAATGGTCACCATCGCGACAAGAGTAAAGTTGTAATTTGCGAAGTAGTACCGCTGATTCTGCCCCTGCTTGCCCACGGGCCATTCAGCCCATGCACCGCGTCCTTTGAATGTGAGGCCGTTGGCAGTCGTCTCCACAGCGCCCGTCACGACGGCGTTCACGCCGAGGTATTCGTCGTTCCATTCGTGGGTAGTTACGTTGCCCGACAAAAATCCAACCAATCCCTTCGTGGGCATAGGCGCAACGCATGCAGCGCCTGGCCTGGCACCCCCGCCAGCAACAGATCCACAGTGCGTCGAAACTTTCTTGTCCACTTCCTTCCAAGTGCCCAGCACCGACTTTATCTGCTGCAGCTGCGCAGACAACTCCGTTAGGAAAACAATGTGATTCCGTTTTCGGTAACTTTCGTGCAGTAAAAACAGTTTGTTTTGGGCAAACAGCAAGGCGCTGGCAACGGTGTGTGTCTCCGCATCAAAAAACGGTCCAACGTCGTAGACGCGTGCTCCGTCAGACAACCACAAGTGGAGCCGATCGGGTCCAGAGCTTCGTTGCGCAGCAGAACCCATTGGGTTGGTAACCAGCATCACTTTACTCCCATCAATCTCCGCAGTAACAAATCCACCCTGCTTGCCGGGGTCCTTGCGATTGGGTGAGTTGCCCCACACGCGTGAGAGTGTCCCGAGCGCCTCCGTCCATGTCTCCCCCATGTCGCTCGACTCGTCACCCTGCGCACTCCATCATTGCAGGGAGTGCTCATGAGAACTTTGCCATCCTCCCACTCCACGATGGCGGGGTCTGTACAGCCCTTTGTCGTTGCCCCACTCGAAACCACCCATTTTTCCCCATCAGTTGAGTGGGCAATGGTGGAGAAAAATGTATTCTCCTTTTCGGCCGTCACCGGAAGCATAAGTATGCCGCCCTTCGCCACAATCCCTGCGCCTCCGCCCCCAGACAGTGTATTCCACTCGTTCTTCTTCATCACTGCATCAAAAGCTGACTTCAGCGATGTGGGTACTTGCCAGTTAATTGTTGCACCCTCACCTGTACCCGTCACATCACCCACGGCCAGCTTAATGTCCCACGTGTCGGCACCATCAGCCAAGTCACTGTCACCTTTCGCCAACTTCTCTGACTTTACGAGAAGATATATTTTATCATTCCTCGCAACTGCTGTAGGACTTACCGCAAAAGAAGAAAAATTGCTTGATTTGTCCATTTCAACGGCCAGTTGGGTCTTCCAGGCATCACTCGAAGACGCACCGTAGGCTGCAATAATATCAACGTCCGTATCTGTAAAGTGAGTGTACTGAGCTTCGGCAAAAACGACAAGCATATCCTCCGCCACACCAACGGCAGCAGGAACGTTGAACGACGCGACCTTCGTCTTCCTGCTGTCACCGCTCTTCAAGGTTACTTCAGTCTTCTGTGGGACAAATATCTCCATCTCCTTTGATGGCGTTGGCTTACGCTTCTTGGCGTCCTCGGCCACACCAGCGCCGCAGCACATCAGGAAAAAAAGGAGCAACAGCACCGCAAAAGAAAACAGCTGCCGGGACATCTTGGGCATGTGTCGCTGCTCTCTCACTCTCTTCCTTCCCTTCTTGCAGTGGATCTGCTCAGGCCGCGACGATTGTGTGTGTGTGTGTGTTACTGGTGGTGACTGCAGCGCCTTCAAAGCGCACAGCAGCAAGTAGCGTTTGGTCTCTTTCCTTCCAAGTGTGTGTGTGTGTTGAAGAGGAGGGGTGGCAAGAGAAGTTCGGCGAAGCAAACAGGATAAATAATAAAAAAAGGAATAAAACAATGGGCACACTGCAAAGCACGGCGAGAGCCCAAAATGAAGGCCGAACCGACGAACGCGTGGGCCGCACGATCACACACTCGCCACCGCCAACAAGAGGCGGCAGCCGCAAAGAAGGCTGCGGTAGCAGCGACTGCTGTGCGCGGCCCGAAGAAACACCCACCCGCACCCACACGGAGAGTCCGCATTTTTTGACGCCCCGCAGAAATCAAAAATAATACAAAACAAATTCATAACCACCTCGCTTACCGTCTCCCCCGCCCAGCCCCTTCAAACCCTGCCAGCAGCAACACGCAGTGCGCATGCCGGCGGGACCTCCCATCACGGCCCCCACAAACTCCCCAACGCCGCCACTTCCCTCAGCGCACTGCAGCAGGAGTGGGGCGTGGCGTAACAAAAATGAAATTGAAAAAAACAATAAAAACAATACAAAATAAACGGTACACGCAGTACCACCACCACTACAAGACACACGCAGCAAATGCCTTCCCTCTGCGGCCACAAAAACAAACTCTCGCAGCGATACCACCGCCACCAACAAACCCAAACGCAATTGCCCGCTACGCGGCAGCACCGCGGTGCTCGTGGAAGTGAAGCACCTCAAAAAAGGCTGAGGGAAAAACAAGAAACCGCTTCAACCACCACGCACGGCATGTACGCCTCCATACGACGTCGCCAACCGGCAGTGACGCACCTTCCGGCCCCAAAAAAACGAGCCGTGCTCTCCTCCTCTTTACGCTGAGCAGCACTCGGGGCGCGACGGCGCCACACCCCGCCACATATGTTGATTGGCCCACTTGCAGCGTGCCGCACGTCAATAGTTTCCCTCTCGACAACTTGTCGACGAAAGTTTCCCCATTTTATTAAATACACCTCGCCGTGCACTCACCGAACTGCCTCATTGTGCCGGCGCCGCCGCAGCAACCTGCGGCCCAACCGCCCTCCACCGCCAACACCCACAGCACCCCGTACCTCCAACCCACATGCGCAGGGTGCTACTCGCGCTGCGGCAATACAGCGGCCTCGGTGGGGTGCCCCATTTACGGTCCTGCGTGCAGCGCACACAACCGTCGCCGGTGCCAGCCAGCTGCAGACAGCCGCTTGTGTTGGGGCTGTGCCTTGCCGACAGAGAGATCCTGTCCGTATGATTGCGACCACAGGCTGCGTTGCCAGTTCCTCTGACAAACGGAAATCCCGCAGCTCCACCAATACGTGTATATATTATATATAGACATACTCCCTTCCTCCCCTCCCATGTTCGTTGCCGGCTGTTCTTTTGTTTCATCTGCCAGTTTCTCGCCGATCGGTGCGCCGAGAAACACACCTCGCCGCCACAACTCCCCTCTGCCACCGGGGGGACGTCTTCACCACTCTGTGAAATGCGCCCTCGCCGCACCACGGCTGCGTGCCCAGCCCAAACGAAAAGAGTAATTCCCAGCACCCGAAAATGCAATCGACCCCACCGCCCCCATCGCCGCAAGGAACCAACCAAAAGACTCACCAAAAAATAAATAAATAAATAATAATAATAATAATAATAAAATGTGCCTCCAGATAAGGCCATATGGCTCCCACTCCTAAAAAGCGAAGGTCGCACAACGGGGGAATCGCAGTTTGGCTCGGTGGGCCCCGCAACCACACGACTCCCTTCCGCATTGGAGGGTGTCATTATTACCATCAGTTGCAGTGGGTGTGTGTGGCGTGGAAGAACTGAGAATAAAAAACACACGCGCTGCTCCCCAACGCGGCATCGCTGAAAGATAAAAATCAAGTCATCCGCAAAGCAAGCAGGGGAGCCACACAAAACCATCTGTCGTCTGATTAGCCTCAGCGGGTGGCACACTCCCCCCACCGCCTTCTCTCAGCGAAGCACCCCGCCCCCGCTGCAATACACACGAGGAAGCCGCCACCCCACCCACTACACCAACCACAATAATAATACAACTCGCCTCTCGCCCACTCCCAGCCATGCCGCCGCCCTTCCTCCCCACCAAGAAAGAAACGCACTAAAAGAATGCCTTGAAACGACACAAAGCCATACAGCGCCATGTAACTCAAAAAAAACGAGCAGGGCAGAGAATTCCTAGCAAACACCCCACGCCCCTGTCACTTATCCTGAGTGGTCTTTGCTGGCAGCAACAATCAGCTGGACAGCCAGCTCCGTGTCAAGCTGCACCTTGTACTGTTCCACCCTTCTCTCCCAAAAGTCTCTGGCAACCTGAAGTCTCGGTACCTCCTTTTCTCCCTCCGTGATATGGCAATCCCGCCTGCCCGTCATCAGCGTGCTCTCAGCGTGCTGGATGTAAATGATCTCCCACTTCATATTTTCCCTCAGCGCCTCCCAGCCCTTGAAGTTGCACGTCATGTACTTCAGAAACGCAGCCACCTTACCGGCAGTGGTGCGGTGGGTGTTGTGTTTTGTCACCTGCAGCCCAATGAACGTCACTTTTTTCTCCGCACCGCTGTGCCCATCGGTGCCAGCATTTCAGGACCGCCCAGATTTATTTATTTTTTTCTTGGCCGTTTGCGCTCGTTGCACCTCGACCACGTAGAACGCATCCAGCAAGGGAAAAAACGCTTGCTGAGTACATACAGAACGCCAGCTTGAAGTTCAGTCTGGATTATTACTCTTCTATTATCTCCACCTGCCATGCACCCAACCACGCAGGGGTCCCTTGGAAAGCGGCCCACCGCATGCTCGTCCACCAACACGCTGGCCCGCGTTTCTCCCTCGCTGCGGGAAGGTGCTTCATCTGGCGAGCAACCGCTTCGGCGACGTCGCTGCTCAGAAAGGCCACGCAGCCCAAGCGCTCAATATCATCAGCTGTAGACTGACTCCACGTTCCCAAAGCGGACAGCAGGCGGGACATCCTAAAGTTCTCCATTAGCACCCGCCTCCGCAATCTCTTTTCGACCTCAACTGAAACGGGAAAATTCCTGCAGCTTTCCGCGTCCTCTCCATTCCCCGCATTGGGCCTCACCACCACCGACGCATCCCTCACCACGCGCTCCTCCTCAACACACGCACCAACTTGATCAGCTTGTCCGCGATCCGGTCCTCGCCCCACTCAGCCTTGCCAAACAAAAGCCTTGCGCAGTGCTCCCAGCATATTTCAGACGTGTTGGACAGCGCCCAGTCAATTGCGGCACAGCGCCCTGAGTAATGGTCCTCATCAAAAACGTAGCGAGGGAGCGGTCCAACCACACAAATACGGTCCTTCATCCTCTGCCATCTCTCCTCAAGCTCTGCTCTTCCTTCGCGGCTTCCCTGCGAGTCACGCAGCAAATCACGCTCCTGCCACGCAAAGAACGCCCTCATCTCTCGTGCATCGTAGCCGTTCACAAAAATGTTAAACGCATTACGTTGTTTCTTCCACCCCTCATAGTTACGTGCGTCAGGCGTAGTCAACACAACTCCGCCCCACCGTCGACGAGGCAGCCCCACCACAACTCGATGGTCCTTAGTCACATCAAAAATATAGTAACCCCCTACGTTAGCCCTTTCTAACTCTTTGATGGCCCACAAACCTTCACTGGTGCTTTTATATTTCACTGCTGTCCCTGCCATTTCTCCCGTTTTGTGGAAAAGGTACACTGACCTTTCTACAAAGTAGGCCACCACCGGGACCCTCACGGCGTCGTAGTGCAGGGGCTCGTGCAGCACAAAGGACCCCATCACCAGCGACTTGCCAATGCCCGCTGTTCCAACCACAACGTACGATTGCCTTATGTCCGTACGACCATCAGCAGGGGTCCAGTTGTCGATGCTTCGCCTAATGACGTTCCACACACAAGCATCACCTCCCTCCGCACAAGTACGTCCTTGTAACCTTCCAAAAAAAAAAAAAATGTATGGCCCAGCAAACGCAGATCTAAGCACAAAAACTCCAGCCGCACACCACGGGCCTCCTCCCCCTCACGCTCCTAAATTTCATGAGGACGAGGTGTGACGCCCACATCACTCTCACACCACAATATCTGAGGCCTGCTGGAAGCGGCGTCCACCAACCTCATCCCAAGCGGCTCCGCAAAGTGGCCCAACTCCATGTAAGTCCCACGTTGCATTCAACACCAACCGGTAGACCCTCTCATCCAAAACCACAGGTGCAAGCGGCCGCCCGCCTTGCTTCTTCCACTCTTCGGCGCTGCGCTGCATTTTGTTGACTGTCTCCATTGGAGCATGATCCTGCCCAACGCACTCCCTGCGGCATAGTAGTTGCTGGAGGCTCCTCAGAGGCGCAAAAACTTTCATCGCGTCTCGCAGGCATCCTTTCCTTAATTATTTTGTTTTCCTTCGTAGTGGTTAACTTGAGTTGAACTAAAGCTGAACACTAACAACCAGTCAAAAGGGGGAATAAAATTTTAAAAAACATGCAGAGACACGACTCCACGCAGCCGCAACGAAAACAGGAGAGAGAAGGCCACCCACACACGGCACGCGGCGCACACCTCACACACACAAACACGCACAAGCACCCCCAATCCCGCACACAACGCAAGCATGATACGCATCACGGCACCCTCCCA